TTAGGATAGCTCGCAGCTAGAGTTAGGGCTTGGGTAGGGTGGGATTATGATTAGGCTGAGGGTCACAATTTTTTCTGAAAACATCCAATTTTTTTTTGGTATTGTGTTTGGCTCTAAACTTTAACAACTACTTGAAAGTTTGCTTGAAATCAAAATATACCATTTTTTGCCAAAATAACTGCCAAAATGCGCAATTCGGGCCTTTTTATCAATTTACACTTGGTTTAAGCTTGGTTTTTGTGTTTTCCCACAGACTCTTAAACTATTTTGCTGAGAACATTTTTTGCAGCGTTTTTAAAACTGAAATAAGCTTATTTTTGCAAAAAAAACAAACGTGTTTTTCAGTCGAATTTAGTGTTTTTGTCAACTTTAGCGAAAAATTTTGCAAAAATCGTACATTTCTGCCGTATTTTAGAGTTTTTAGACAGATTTCGTCGCGATCTTGTGAAAAACATGTAGTTTCAAGCTAGTTTTCAGTGTTTTGGCAGTTATCTTGTCAAAAAATGGGTAAGTCAGCGCAATTGTTTTTTGTTTGGTTTTTAAGGTTTTGTTTGCCCAAATTTTACTGAGAACACTGTGTTAGCTTGTCTCCATTGTTTTTTCGCAGATTCTATCGCTGTTTTGCTGAAAACATAACGTTTCAGCTTGTTTGCATCGTTTTTGGTCGTGAAATAAGCTAATTTTTGCAAAAGGAAAAAAACCTGTTTTTCAGCCCAAATTGACATAAAGGATACAGAAGAACATTTGCTTATTGCCTTTTTTTTTTTTTTGTCCTTACTCATGAAGTTGATTTTGGCATTTCAAACAAAAACTCTGCTAGAGCATTAATTGAATGACATATCATGCACTTACTTTGAAGCAAGAACACTTTTTTTTTAACTCAGAAAAATACTTTTTTATTTTTTTTTAAGGACTGCTGGATATAACCTGTACAACCAAGATGAATTTACATTCATTATTTGTCATAACTTACACTAAATTAGAAATTCAAGTATGAAATGAGGGTACTAGCCCTTTAATAGTGTTCAAAATTTCCATATGCAGGGGTACTTGTGGCTACTGGAGAAGAATCAGTCTTTAACCCTTCACCCCCCCCAAGGGAGATAATAAGTACAGATATCCTCTTCCCTAGGGGCAACTAGCTCAAAAGTGAGTGATCTCAAAGGCCCTCCAAAAACGTTTTCTACAGCAATAACTAAGCTCTACAGAAGCACACTATGCAGACAAAAGGTGTAAGAGAATCAATGAATTCTTTAATTCTTGGTCCCTCCCAGGCCAACCTATTGTACAAATCTCATGACATCTGTTCCAGTTTCATCAGTCAATTTTTCAAGCTTCAAGCTTTTCCTGCAATTATGTACTTGTTCTTGAAGCTGAAAACTAACAAGGTTCCTGTAAATTAAGTTTACATAACAACCTAACAATTTGTGAAAATCACACAAATCCCAAGCTATATCCAGAATTATGCTCTTAATAAAATAAACTTTTAAAGCAAATTGGGATTTTGCTCTAGTTCTTTTTATTTTTTTGTTACTTTTTAAATACATTTGTATAAATAATGCTCCCCTAACTCTCCCCAAAACTTTTAGAACAGATGCAAACTCTTAAGAATGATCAAGCTTCACCTTATTATTAAAAATTTTTTACATCTTAGACTACCAAGTTATCACAGAGGTTTTTTTCGGTACTTTGACCTGTTTAACACCTAAAAAGAAGAACACATACATAACACACACACAATCAGCCAGGTCAAAATGTGCTGCAGCCAACAATTTGGCCACCTACAATGAAATAGCTGCCAATTTCACACATGTCAGACTTCTATTCAGGACAAGATTTGGCCTCTGCTGCCTATTACTATTGCCAGCTTGCCTGCCACTCAAAATTTCAACTGAGATTGTACATACATACATGTGGGATTAGGTTACACGAGCGAACCTGCACTATTGAAAGAGGTCAATGAATTATAACTCAAAGAAACATTGATAAATAAAATAAATCAATAGAAATGACAAAAATTAAACTAACAGCAGACAGCACTTTTTTGGCCTTCGGGGCCTGATCAGTGCAGTGATCTTCAACTAAGTGCTTAATTTGGACATAAAACCAAAACTTGTTATGGTTAAATATTATTATTTTTCTTTCAATATTCCCATTCCAGCTGATGTATATTATTTGAATAACAAATCTTATTCGCATGTTAAAATCACCTGAGGACAAGGCATACACTTTGTGCCAAAATTGCTTTGCATCAAGTACATTATCTAGTACATCATTACCATCTTCAGGTATTTCTAATTTACTCTTGAAAATCACACAAATCATAAGCTATATACAGCATACAATTGGCAGCAAATTATTAAAAAGGAATGCAGTAATCTTTAATAATAAGAGTAGCTAAATAACAAATAGCCTAGTCAAAATGTGCCGGTAACCAGGGATTTGGCTTTCCACACAGAACATTTGTTAGGCGTCTAGTCTGGACAAGGTTTGGTCTCTACCTTCTGTTACTATAGCCAGCTTGCCTACTTCTAAAAAACGTTTTGACTAAGCTGAAAAAAATGTTTGAGAGAAAAATGGCCACAACAAGCCCACTTACTGCAAAATAAGAAACATAAAAGTAACACTTCAAATTAATACAGAATATAAGCCTTGCAGGATTTGGCTCTCAATAAAATTAGTTAAAATAGCCGATCTTGAGTTTAACTACTCACTCAAAATGGGCTGACAGCCTGCAATTTGGCCACCTACAATGAAGTATCTTCCACTGACTTCACACCTTTCAGACTGCTTTTCAGGATGAGGTTTGGCCTCTGCTGCCTATAATTACAACAGCCAGCTTGACTACTACTAAAGAACATTTTGACTGGGCTGTGCAAGTGTTACTAGCATATAAAAAGCACCTTCAGGTAGATTACAGCAAAGCAGACTTTGTACCAAAACACTTTGCATTAAGTACATCATTACCCTCTACAGGTATTTCTAGTTTACATGTGAAAATCCCACAAATCACAAGGTATATTACATCATACATGTTGACAAAGCAATCAGGGGTACATTTTTCATAATAGGATGCAATGGTCTTCAGTATCAAGATTATTTGGTACCTAAATAGTAAAATGTTCGAGAGAAGAAATAATCATAAACATTTTTTCTTTCTCATCAGTATCGACTTCCAAAAGTAATGGATAATGACCACCTAAAACAAAGAAGAAATAAATCAAATTTGTGATTTCACAGGGCTTCAATACGAAACAACTATACATATCTTTTATTTCCTACCACTTACAAGTGGCAGGAATGGCTGAAATGGCCTTCACGTGAACACAACAGAATCCTATGCGTGTATAACCATGTAGAACTATTTATTCGGTATCGAAATTACATCCCAAATGTCATGATATTTGACTGAAACTCAGCTTACCCATCTTTCGTTTAGACTTCGAAACTTGCTGCTTTTTACCACCGTTTCAATGTTTTCTTGTTGTTCAAAAGGTGGTAGGGCCATTGCAGACCGTGATTTTTTTTTTACTTGAGAACCAGATCACAACACCCAAGCCTTTTCACGCTAAAATATTAAACTACTGAGATTTCCTTCGCCGCCGTAAGCCGCCATTTTATCTTTCCCTGAATACTAGTTCCCAAGCTTCGAGCCCGAAGGTCTCAGACATGCACTGAAATTATGATATTCGTTATTTCAGGGCCAATTTAGAAATAACGATAATCGTTATCTTGGTGTCGAGATCATGCTGATCACAACTGAACGCACATTTACCCCTTTCCTCCGCCATCTTGAATGTTGTAAGACAGTGGAACCGAGTCCTTCTCTTTATTTAACACGGTAAAGAGCATTGGTAAAGAGTGCCACGAAATTACTATATCCATAAATTTGGTGCCAATTTAGAAATAACGATAATCGTAATTTCGGTCTCGAGCGAAACATTGCGATCTTCAATTGATGTCTTGAATTTACAATTGACAGTGACGTTTGAATTATTAGTCGGACGATTAAGCATCCTTTATTATCATCATGGTCAACAGACATATCCTAACAACATCCTTACATATAATCAACAAAAGATCTGCCTTGTTTCAGTCAACCAAGCTTCCTACGGGTGACTAAAACTAATAGTATAGCGATTTACACTTAATAGGGACTCTAAATAATGAGAAAAGTGATTTAACACTCATATGTCTTCGTCAAATTATGATAGTAAAGCATGGTTAATAAAAACATGAGCAAAATCATTCGGACAAGAGTTGAACAGAGCATTTATTAAAAAATTGGAAAACTGTCGAGCGAAACTTAAGAAGCTTAAACATTCTAAGGAAGGTAAATTGCATGAAAATTTTCTAGTATCACATACAAAATTTTTCAAACATCGAGAACGCCTTTTAACCTGGTGAGATTAGCCTTTCGCACTGAAAAAGGTCTTCAGAGAAGACTTTCGAAAACACTCGTGTGAGTTAACGAAAGCGGAGGTAAATGTATTCGAAATACAAATGACAGGGTGGTACAATATATTTGTTCTCCTCTTAGTATTGAAGCTTATCTACAATAACATAATATTGTAAAACCGTGATATACTACAGTTTTATCTAAATCTGAAAAACCCTGGTCTGGCTGGCCGAAATATTGTTTTGAACAATATCTTGAAATCTCACCGTTCACTTCACACGTTTGGCTGATGGGGTCTCCTGTGAGGTACAACTTACAACCAAGCAGGATCTTTGTTCGCAGTTTCGGAAGTTTATCAGTTTCAAATCGTTTGTTTCCCTTCGTTAAATAGAATTAGTAAGCGAAGAAGAAGCAAGTGAACACTTAATTAGTTATCAAATACAAACAACCGGAAATCTGACGTTTTACACGTCATATCCTTGGCGGCTTATAATCTTAATTTGAAGCGCTGAGGTAATCATTAATATGAAAATGTTTGTGTGAGAAAACGTAAAACATCGCCAAAAATAAGAGATGCAACGAAATAAGTAAACAAGCTTACTTTGACAACATTTTTTGTCTATGTGACGTCTGTTTGAGGCGATCCGATCTAGGGCTAAATGTTCGATCGCGTCTTTACCTTCGTACAAACCAGCTGCATCTTTTTGACAGACTGCATCATCGTCAGTTTTTGATGTCAGTTCACGTATCAGTCCATTCTTACTTTAAGACACGAGGCAAGGACGTGGCGAAGTCGGAAATGCGCTAATTTGGTGATGCAACAACTGTCAATTTCCTCGAAACCGTTACAATAATTTGCAGCGACTCGCAAACCCTGGTGCAAAATTGCTTTAAGCTAAATTGGAAAATTAAGTGAAGCACATTTAAAGCTCGAGCTCTTTCCGTTTTTAAGGTCAACAACTGGTTGGTAACGTTTGCACATTGAAAAACGAAGAAGCATATCAAATTACTTAACACTCCAAAGGGGTTTTCCCTCCGAGAACATCTGTGCCTAAGCGACCGTCGTATGCAAATTTTGAAGCAAAACCTCCCGCATCTAAGGCACTGAAGATTATTCGAGACAGCTTTCTGGTAACAGGTATTTAATTTCAATTTTCAATTTCTCTAGGTTTGCTTGTATGCACGAGGTAGCTTTATAGAGAAGGTCTTGTTCTAAAAACTAATCACTCGTTTCACTTTTCTTCCGTGGTACGTGTGGACACTGATTACAAAACTGATGACTAAGCATATTGGATGTGGGAGAAATATTCCCATAAAACAACCTGTCTTACGTGATTTTAAAGAGAAATATTTCTTTCAAAATTTGAAACTCGGATTGAAAACCACAGAGGCCACCGAAATAGGAATAAGGACTTCTATTTCAAGATAATATTGTGAAGTATTTGTGATCAGACCTTATGCAAACGAAGCAAATTTAATGCACGGATTTTATAAATGCGTTTGTTTTAACGGTAGAGGAAAAAAATGATGCAATTTCATTGGTTAATTCGAGTTAGTCAAGAAAAGTGGCTGTGGAATCAATGATAAACAAAGAAGTCGAATAAAGTGAATTTTCTTGGGAAATTTTTTAGGCATTCTTGCGTGGGCTGTTGTATTGTGTCGGAAATATTCCCATAAAACAACCTGTCTTACGTGATTTTTGAAGAGAAATATTTCTTTCGAAATTTGAAAGTCGGATTGAAAAACACGTACGCCACAGAAAAACGAAATAAGGACTTCCGTTTCAAGATAATGTTGTGAGTTATTTGTGGTCAGAAATTATGCAAACGAAGCTAATTTAATTCGCAGATTTCATAAATGTGCTCATTCTAACTGTAGAGGAAAAAATAATATAATTTCAGTGGTTAATTCGAGTTAGACAAGAAAAGTGGCTGTGGAATTAATGATGAACAAGGGCTACATAACAAAGAAGTCGAATGAAGTAAGTTTTCTCAGGAAATTCTAGGCATTCTTGCGTGGGCTGTTGTATTTTAGGTACGATATTCGAAAAACACACTTGGATAAGGGTTGGATTTGAAATATGTACAACAAAGCTGCTAAGATATAACGTTTGAGGTGGCTAAAAATAATAAGAGAGGAAAGAAATTTTCAGTACTAAAACTATTCAGAAATAATGACATTTCTGCATGTTTTTGCAAAGCAGGTCAAGGTACATAACACAGCCCGTCATGTCTGCTCAGATGAACACTGATTTATTCATGCTGATTAGCGTCTGTACTGTTTACATGGTGCGTACGTATATTATGTTTTAACTATCTTTATGAAAATTCATTTGATTGTAGGTATATCTTTGTATAATATTCATCGTTCTGTGGAAAATACTGAGTATAAAAAACTGAGTTATTGCGAGCGTCGTATAATTATATTTAACTTTCCGTGAAGCTACTGAAGAAGTAGCATAGTCAGCATATTAGGTCAGGTGCTGTTATTCGATTTGATAGTTTACGTTCTCGTCTGTGGTCGACCAACACGGAACTTATGGTGCCAAGAGATCTTGGGATCTCTTGATGTGGCATAACAAACGAGGCAGGAGGAAGAAAACGAACTTGCAATACTGTTTTCTGACAGAAACTTAAACAGAGGGTGATCTAATGCAGCGAGTATTACAAACCTCCTCCTATCAAAGTGCGGTTACTTTCACTTTCGAAAGAGCCATCGAAAACAAAGGTTTGATGACACTTTTAATTAACTGTCTCCGAGGAAAAAGGGAAAATACCTCCCAAGTCGACTCGATTGTCTCTGGTTGAGAACTTAATCAATCAAACTTCCAAAATAAACAATGAGGTCCGAAGATCAGATCATCTGTGGACAAAAAATAAAGAAAGATGAATGGGAATGAAAAAAAAAATTGGATAGTCCATATCTCTGAACGAACACAAACTTTTTTTTTTCCACAATATTTTCTTCTCACGTGAAATACTCGTGTCCCTTCAGATATCAAATATCCGGTTGTCATGGGTAGGTTTAAAAATATCACCTGCGTTTGCGGGTTTTGCCGCAGCCTGTTAATTTCGCCTATTTTCCGGGTTTATAGAATAAGAAATGACTGTCAGCGCAGTAATGTACGGAGGACCTTGATCTTGGATAAAACCGTGAAAAATTCCCGCCATTTTAAATTGCATTTGCTTCGCTGAATGATTAATCTGAAAAAACTGCGTCTCCTTCTTAACCAACAAAACGAGAGAGAGTTATGGTTAATTGCAAATTTCAAACTTTATCTAAGAAAATTTAGGCTATGAATCACATTACCCAATGGGTGACAAAACCATAAAATACTGAGTTGTTTGTGGACTCAGAGAAAAAAAGAGGGGAAAAACTCGTACTTGTCAATGTCTGCTTTCTGATTAGCGCAAACTCTTATCAGTTTCCAGTGCAAGTGGCATGTAACAGAAGCTGCAGATGGAATCAGCTGACTATCTTGCGTCCCAAGGGAGCCGTATGTTCTCCTTGTCCAGAATGTCCCGAGGGTCAAGGCATGGTCCCACAGTGTGGCTCGCGTATAACTGCTGACGTCACAGTGGAGTGTGTAGAATGTAAACTTGGCAAATCGTACTCGGATAAGCAAGATATCTCCTCGTGTAAGCCATGCACCATCTGTGACCCTAACGAAGAAACGATCAGCCCTTGTACTGCCACGAAGAATGCGGTTTGTGGAGAATGCAATGCTGGGTATGTAAGTCATTGCTGAATTTTACCAGAAGAGCGGCATCTGGGATGAAAATCTCTCTCGTCGTTTTTCAGGTTCGAGAATAGATACTCAGTAACTGAGACGTATCGATAATAAATCATTTTCAGTTTCATTATTTGAAGAGTTTATCCCTACTCCCGACCCTTCAATCATTAGTTGTCAGCAGGAAGACAACTTTCTCAGCTTGTGCCTTTATCGTTGTACGTCCCGTGTTCTTATATCGGAAACATGTATGTAAGTTTGGTCATCAAAATAGAGCCTGACCTGAGATTTTTTGTCCAACTCTACCTCGTCTGTATCGACTGACTTAATCAAATCTTCCTTTACTATTTTGTGCCCGCCAGGATTATTCACAGGACAGATGTGAAGCGCATTTTTGATGAAAAACCTATCGTAAAGGCTGATTTCATGTTTCAACTTTTCATATAACAGCTTCTATAGAGCTACAACTGGAGATTGCAAACCTTGCATGAGATGTTGTGCTGATAGTAAGGACGAAGATATAGAGAAACAGTGCAAAGCACAGACCAACCTCCCAGCAAACCAAATATGTCGATACGATGTTGACACCATCAAATGCGCGCCTACAGCATACAGGACAACTGCGCCTGCTGTGTTGGTATCCACGGCACCTGTAATGTCACAAGACATGATGGCTGCCCGCACTAAAGAGGGAAAGAGTGGTAGCACCCTGTGGTTCATTTCGTTTGCAAGCTGTCTTGCTTTCTTTGTGTGTCTTTTACTTGCAGTGATGTTGGCTTTTTGTTACAAAAAGAAAATACTAACCTCGCTTTGGTGCTCCGGACGTATAGACCGTGTGATTATAACTCGTAAGTATTCAAGGGCGAGAGAATCTCATAGATGAGCCTATAAGACTTTTTCTGGTAAAAATGATTTCTCCACAACACTAGCGCGGACCTCCCTCCCTTTCCTTACCAAAATTGTGAGTTTTGAGCCTAGAAAATCAATTAATTTATACTTTCATACTCATCCCTCTAAATTATGAGTATCTCCCTCGACTGGGATCTAATTTAATCTTATTTTAGTCAATGAACAAATAGGACAACATAAACTTAAGCTTTTGTAAGTCGTTGCCTCCGGAGTATTAGAAGAAACCGTCAAGTTCGGCGGATGTTTCAGCTAACTTGTGTCTTGCTAGTTTACTTGTGCAACCAAGGGTAATCTCCCTAGAATTGCACTTTATAATAAATCTGATACTGCATCTCTGATCTTGACCTCTGCATCTCTTACAGCAACACAAGCGGATTGCAATCAGCCTTTGACCACCAAGGTTGTGTTTGGGAATGAAAAAGCGTGTGAATGAACTTACGATTTCCCATACCCATTAACTTTCCTAGCCAAGTACACTTGAAGGAATGAGATAACCTCCTGACATTATACCTTTACGACTTTTCAGTGTACTAAGTTGAGTTAAAGTTCCACTCATACAGTGTAGGCTGCTGATATTCTTCGTGGTCAGTTATATTGACTAAGAGGACGCTTCACACGTTAAAAAAAAATTCAGCTTAAATTTCCGTTGGAAAGACCGCCTTTCACCTCCGGTGAAGACCACGTTTTGCAAAGAAGAGAGTTAGACTGGGTGACATTTAGGGCTTAAATCTAAATTGACTTCGCTCAAGGAATTCCTAGAATTCGCGGTCACAGTAAAGCGAATATACTATAAATGAGTGTCAATTAAAGTCTGTTTTGTTTGAAATCACTTTTTTATTGTGTGAAATATATATTACTGTTTATTTCTGTCCCATTACACCTATGGCCAATATTCACAAAATTCACGCGATATCTATTGGTAGATATGTTCCCATGGAAAAAACCCTATCAAAATATATTAACGTGTTTTTGTGTACGACGAATTGACATTAGAGCTTTCATTCACAAACGGTTATTAACGGCATAAACGGTTATCCATAACCCAACTTTTTTCTAAATTGAAAAAAAATAACTTAACATCTTTAGAATTCTGGATAACACATTCATAGATAAAGTATATAAGAATAAGTTAATAACCTGCAAAACTAGTAATTTTGACGTTTGACTCATAGAATAAATTAAGCTATCAAAACCAATTTCACCCCCTTAAAAAGTCGTACAACATGATCTCATGAATCTTTAAAATAACTCTTATATGATTCATTATCTTTAACCGTAGTTTGCATTTGACTTTAGTTTCATTAAATATGACGTAAGTATGTCTCTAAGAAGTTTTGAACGGTCTTTTAACATACGTGAGTGTATTTCTGAATAATTTCACGAAAAGTATGAAGATAAATCCATTTATAAATGAATACGTCTCGGATATAAATTTTAACTCTTCAAATAGACTATTTGAGGGCTTAGTCTGGTAGACAAAAGGCACAATCATCCTGTTCTCAAGCATTTTTTTCTTGCAAACATGGATAACTAAGCCCTTACAAAGAAAATATCTTCCAAAAAGGAATTCAATAAGTTATTTTTCTACGTTTCATATTTTCATAGAGAGCCCATCTTGGACCCAACAGTTTAATACTTTTCACTTCAGCCTTCGGTTAGGGGAGGAGGAAAGGAAGAGGTTTAGGAGGATTTTGATTGTGTCATAGTAAAATTTACCTGGAACCCCCCCCCCCCCCCAATACATACGATTCCCACCATACTCTGTTGGCGACGACTGATTTCCCCTTTGTTCCCCCAAAAACCATGTGATCCCCTTAAAATCCAAAATCCTCCCTCCACGCCCCAGGCGTTGAAAAATGACTCGCCCCACTAGAGTCCTTATAAGTCCTTGCTTGCCCCACACGAGTGCCATAAGGGACCTTAAGAGTCCAAAGGAGTCCTTCCTTGCCCCACACGAGTGCCATAAGGGACCTTAAGAGTCCAAAGGAGTCCTTCCCCACAAGGAGCCTAATACTAGATAAACTTTTTCAATCCCATGATCTAAATACAAATTCTCCTCACTATCTGCAATCCATTTCTAATAATTTTCGTTCTTAAAATTTAATGTCAAATCAAACTATCTCTAAGTTGATGTCTTTCTTTCTTTTCATCATCCTTCTGCTATAAACGCATATATACTGTGAGGAGAAATTTCTTTTGGGTCACCTAAGAGAGAGAAAGTTTTGAGAGGTAAAAATAATTTCGCTTCATCAACTCGGGTGAATGTAAATTGGCTACGGCAGAGAAATTCCAGAGATGACGTTTCGAGCCTTAGCCCTCCGTTAGAGCGACTGGTTAGCCGATAGCCTGTTGCAAGCGTTCTAGTAGTTAAACGAAGCGTGATAGTAAGCGTGGGGAGAAGGAGCGGAGGAGCGAAAAAATGAGGGAGGCTTGGGTCGACGAGACCCAGGCCTCCCTCGCTTTTTTTTATCGCGCCGCTTACTGTTTCGCTCCATTTTACTGACTGAACGCCTGGAACAAGCTTGTTAGCCGAGTAAAAGCCAGCCTAGTTCCCAGGCATACGAAGAGAACCTGTGCAACAAACATTCATCTTCTGCAATTAATTAAAGCTTAACTTCTCCTCACAGTTTTAGTACGTATCCAGCCCGCAGGTAATGAGAATAGAAAAACGAATCAGCTAAAAGGGCGTATAGTCCATAAAATAATATGAAGCAGCTGAGCGGAGAGTTCTTATTCGGATCATGGGATTTATAGATGAAACGTGAACTTCTTCGAAACATTCTTACAGTATAACATAAAACATATCATGTACTCTTGAGTAGAACGTGAAAACCCCCTTTCCAAAAATATCCACGAAAGTACATTTATAGACTGACCTAACATATATTTTCTAATTAAGGTCGACATATTCCAAATAAATACTGCTTTGAGATGAAATTTTAAACCATATCTTCGATAATTAAAACTCTTTCCTCTCCATGATCTTCAAGACACTTATTTACTGTGTTAACAATAATTTTCAATCTTCTGTCGATGGCTTTGAAGTGTGGATCGGAAAGTACCGGTGACACAGGATCATTCTCGGTGGCTTTCCGTAAAAGTTCACTTAGAGACATCTTCCCTCTGGCGATAGATTGAAAGCGGTTCCAAGTGGAAAGGCGAATTCTAAAAGTGAGGTAAGAGATTACTCAGTCAACCAAGAAAAAATGAGAGGAGAGAGAAAGAGAGAGAGCAAAGCTCGAGTTCAGCTTTTAGGATATATCTATGCCCATAGGCTTTTTAAAGACAGTCTCTCGAACGGAAATGTATTTTCTGAGACGTCCGCATTAATGCCAAGAGAGGTCGATTTGATGTTCTGATTGAAGACGATATAACAGCCGACAGCACACTTTTTTTGTTCAAAACCACCTCAACAAAAAATTAAATTTAAAAAAGGGGAATTGATATTTCTCTAGCGAAAATTCAAGGAGGTTGGAGACTGAACTCCTTTTTTCGTTTAAAACTAAATGCAACATCAGATGTAACTTACGTGATGCTTTCTTTTTATAATGTTGTAGAACTTTTAGCTTTTTAATTATCTTTTTTAATGTAAAGCACCATGGACAAATAGTGGATTGAGCGCTATATAAATATTTTATTATTATTATTATTATTATTATTATTATCATTAGCGAAATCAGTAAATCCAAGCAAAAGCACTGATTGGTCAATTTATCAAGTTCACTGAGCAGATATACAGCCTGTAGGGCTCTAACAGGGAGAGATAGCAGGAGAAAGAAACTTTATGGGCCTTTGAAAGAAACGGTAGTTTATTAACGAGAGAGAAAGAGGTGTTGCCACGAGGCCACTTATATTTCTCACACAAATTTAGATATTAATTTCATCTAAGATGCCTCTTTTCCTTCTTACCTGCAACATTGATAGATAGGAGCTAAGATGGACATTTCATCGCGATAAGGATCGCCGAAGCTGAAAGAGGGAAAAAAAGGATAATAAAATTCCCCTCATTTTAGATCACTTCATGTTAATGTGAAATGGTTCATTATTCAACGCGAGCGGAAGAAATAAAACAAAGGTGTACTCCTGGGCTGGCATATTAAGATAACAGCTTAGGCTGGCAACCTTCAGGAATGTCTTTCGCTTTGGATAAGTTGTCACTTGTTACACACTGTTAAGAAATGAAATGGTCAGCTTACTGTGTCTGTTGATTTTGTCTTTCTAAAACAATGATGAACTTATAAAATAAACAGATCAGTGAACGCTCTATAAAGTTCTAACGACTCATCGCAAAACACGTACCTCTTAGCATTATCCAGATGCAGTGGCATTCCAGTGTCTCCCTCGTCTTTAAAGGTTTCGTAGTGATGCCTGTCTGCATTGCCTAATGAATCATAGATTCGAATTTTCTAAGTTTTCAATAGCGTAAAATATTCAATATTCAAGGATTATTAATTAGAACTCGAACAATTGAAGCTGGAATGGATCATTCTGGAGCAAGGGAAGTAATCACAGAAACAAAACGAGAACTCAAGGTAGATTCATAAAAATGAGGAAAACGCGGATGACCAAGCCAAAATACTTTTAGTTTTTGTATGTGATTAGTTGAAAGAATAGTGCACATTCTCTATTCCAGTTACTGATCAAAATACGCTAAATTAACGCAAACCCTCATTACTTATAGTGCCGCTATAACGTACAATAGCATTACACGGGCTCAACTCACGTGCACTTACCACACACTAAACGCACGAAACACGAAGACTGCGCGTCACTACACGCACCTACGCGTTACAAAAGATGCTAGACTATGTGCAAAATGCGTGTAAATTACACGAAATCAGTCAACTAGAATTCAGTAAATGCATTTACTGAGACATAGTAGTGTGTAAAAAGACAAAAAGATCTGGCTCTTATTTTGTTGTAAGATTTCTGATGAGCATGAGCGGCACCAAATGCCCACCATTTCCCTCACAGACAATACCAAATGAATACTGTCAGCCAAGAGGTACCTACCGATTAGGAAGTCAAACAGTGCTGTGTCCAAGAGATCTAACAAGCGAGGACCAAAATTATATGGAGGCTTGTTCAATACCTTGTTCTTACAGTAGTTATTGTCAGTCTCCCATCTGTGTAAAGATAACCATCGGTAGGGGTTCAATTTTTTCTCTGTTCAATATGTGTTGAATTCTTGATAGAGAATTGTAAACAACTTTGCCACTAACATGCACCACACTGGTATGTCATTTTTTTATGTACAGATATACAGATGCAAAAAAACCAGAATGACAAGTTTTGCTACTTTTTTTCTTCTTTCAAAGATTTAGATTCTATCTCTTCCAATTTCCTGACACCTTTGTCCCCATGAGCTCACCCTCGAGGATCTAACTCCATACCAAAAAGACAAGTTTTTTTCCCAATGGTTTGTTTTTCTGAAAATAGTAAGATGTCTTTATTTCTTTCTGTTTCCCAACACTTTTCTCCTCATGACTTCAACAGTCATTCCTCTGCATACTATAAATCCTTTAAGCCCAAAGAGTGACAACCGCCTAATATTTCTTCACAAAATCACCCCTGAATCATACATTAAGGTCAAGAGAATCAAAGAAATGATCATCAACTAAAGAAGCCTCAGATTGTTTAAAAAAAATTCTCCTTGTAAGCAAGGAAATATATAGAGAACAGTATGGAGAATATGCATACTGATGTTAGGGACTATACACAAGATGCATCATGCAATTCACTTACAGAGCCTTTCTGGTGCCACTGTATGCTCTTATCCAAGGATGTGCCCACTTTCCAAGATTCCATCCTTTTGGTAGCCACAGTGTTACTGAGCCTTCCATGATTGTACCATTGGCACAGGCAGCATCCTTTTTGTTACAATAGTAGCATTGGCCATAGAAGCAAGTATTTCCATCTGAAAGAAAAACAACAATCACCACATCATTTTGATTCATTTAACCATTCAACCACTACAAGCGACTGGCTTCTAATTTCTCCTTACAGTACCACCCTTAAATCAAATTTAAAGGTCATAAGAATAACGAAAATGATCACAAATTTATGATGTTCTTGATTGTCATACAAATTCTCCTTTTCAGTACCAAACAAAGGTATAAAGAACACTATGGAGAATGTGGATACTGATGTTAGGGTGTGAAGGGTTACATTAAGTAAGATTTACAGCTGTAGATTGCTAAGTCTTCTGTGATTAACTGATTCATATTTATGGATCATTACAAGAAAACATTTTTTTCTGAAATTGTCTTTATAATAATTACGATACTAACAATGCTTATGTTACTTATTATACAAACCCTATTTCTATTTCTATTTATCAATACTCATGTTTAAGAATACTTACGAAGGGATTTTTCTCTTAAACTAGCTTGCATTACCAATTATATGCTGCTTACCCTACTTGCATTACAAATTTTAAATCAATAATTAGCTTACTCTACATATTAAACAATATTTATTTATACACTTGGTAAAGAAATTACAATTTATGAGAGGTAGACTAGAGCTTATCAAAGACACAATGCAGATACTTCAGTTATATACATTTTGGAGCTTAAGTTTGTTAACAAAAAAAGAAAAGGAAACAGGACATGCTTAGAAAATTCCCCTCTCAGTTTCTTTAAATAGTTGAAAGCTACCTTACCTTTCTTAAAGAATGTGTCCAGAAGCCTCTTGTCTCCAATTGGTTCTATTTCATCTTCTAAGTTTATTTTTCTTCCAACAACTGGTGGTGCCCGGTAGAAACCTAAAATTCTTCAAAAATAAATTGATAGTAAGAAAAATTGATTTCATGATTGTGTGATCAGAATTTAATCCCAAAATAATCAAGAAAATAAATAGCTACCAAAACTCAATTTCCACTAGATCCAAAACTAAACTAAACATCTTGTATTGTTTAATAATTATTATGATAATAATAACAATGGTAACAACATAATTATAATTCATAATTATTACTAATGAAATATTTTTTACTATGATATTTAAATCGTTACTATCATAATTTTCATCATTTGTTTATCACTATCATTAGTTATTTCTCACTTTTATTTACATAATTTTCCATGAAAAAGTATATTTAGTCATCAGTTTCTGTGTTTGTGTCCAAGATGGATGGCATGAGATAAACATCTCCATACAAAGTCTGTTTAATGTGATGGGGTTTTAGTGGATTATGAGCCAAGATCTGGTTGTCTAACAACAACTGGATTCAGGAAGTGTATTGATAGGGCTCTCTTATCATAGCATTCTACGACATTTTTATGATTTACCTATCCAAATGAAATGCAGCAATCTCTCCATTGTGTCTATCAAAACCAGCATATGGAGTTCCCTCTACTATAAAATCTCTGTGGTACCTGA